AGAGTCCCAGTACCAAGCTGTCAATTTTCTTATATCCTGAAGCTGCTGGGAGCATGAAGTACTTGTACAGGAGCCCCACAGAGATACACTGTATTAAACTATACGTTTCCACAGAGCCTGAAACTTCAGGGAGCATTACCATACTAATCCAGAAACCCCACAGACGTCACCTTTGCTAAACTGTCACTTCCATTCTCAAATGGCACTAAAGGGACAACATCAAATTAGTCATGGGGGGTAACACATCTACCCCTGCACTACGCTGTCACTTCCCATATAGCCTGAAATTACAGGGAGCTACTCCATACCACTTTAGGTGCCCTCTGTACCAAGCTGCCACATGCTATATAATTAAATGTTCAGGAAGCATCCCCATATTAATCAAGGCATGCCACATAGCCCTTTCACAAGACTGTCACTTTCCATTTAGGCTAAAACTATAGGGAGTACCCCATCATACACAGTAAGAGGTCCGTCAGAGACCCCAATACCAGGCTGTCACTTCCCATGTGCCCTGATAGCTCATGTGATATACCCAGAACCTGCCACTAGTAAACTATCACGTTCCTTGTGTCCAAGACTGAATGGATATACCAAACATCTTTCTAGACCATCCCCACCCCCCCTGCAAAAATGTAGCCCAGTCCTATCCCTAGTTAAGTCACCACTGTGATCCTGAGACCGCATATAATTCCCCCACATCTACCCAGGGACTCCAGAGCTATCCCTAAATACCATCTCCCATGTTCACAGAATTCCCATGCTCACAGAATTGTCCCTTAGGTTTTCAATTATCTCCATTTTTAGGGAACATACAGGAACACTCCCTTACCAACTCAAAGCCCCAGCACCACACCTAGCAACCTGTCACTTCCTGTGTGGCCCAGAACCAACTCTAGCTAGGGAAGCAATGTGTGAGTTTATCTGGTTTGTGCATTTTATCCCAAATAGTAGTAGAATGTATGACATTTATTGCTGGTTTCAGATAAGAGCATACCTTGACGTCAGAAAATCTCTTGCTTTTCCTGTTCACGCAGGTACTTTCTGTAGTCACAATAATAATTTTAAAGCTAAACATCAGACCATAGCGTGTGATTGTTAAAAGGTATTATGCTGGTTCCTTCTTTTTTCCTCCTTTTGAAATTTTTCTACTTTTATACCATTGTCTGCATAGCAGTGTTATGTTTATTAATAATTAGATAAAATAGGCAAAATAAATATTGGGTTGGTCACTATTGAGTCACGATAACTCTTCATGACAGCCAGCATATCAAATTCATGCTCCAATTTTAAATCATAATCACTATGCTTAGAAGTGTGGAAAATTGTTCGTACTGAGACAATCTCTCCATCCATTCCTTTTTTTTTGGTTGAATGTACTGTCGTTCCATTGGTTAAGGATAGAAAGAGGATTACTATTCTTGGCACTGGGGAAATTGCTTGCATACATTTACAATTTTATGTGGAAAATGCATATGTAGAATGCCTGCTCCCTCGAAGAAGGTTGAATATTGTATGCACAGCTCAGTGCAAACTAAATTTGAGTATTTACCGAGCTGGAAGTTTCTGTGATATACAACCAGTAAACCACTTTCCCACGCCTGCTTATCTTTGCCTGAAACCACTAATATTAATATATGGAAACCTCGCCTTTATGTAATACTTTTAAGAGTATATTTGGGGTCTGTTTGCCAAACAGTGCATTGATATCTGAAACACAGATGTTAAGCCGATTATAGCAGCATTGATTCCATTCTATTTTGGTATAACTATGTTGATACGGTTGTCAATTCACTGGGTGTAAACCCTGTGTTATATTGCAACGCAGCTATTAGGGCACAGAGAGCAGAGATGGGATAGAGGATCAGTTTCACCATTCCTTCTTCAAAACGCATTGTATTTTGCTACATTATAAGGCTACCGGGCCCCCATAGCCTATTGTATTGACTACAGTCCTTCATTACTTATCTGTGCAGCGGTGGCTGATGGAAAATGCTTGGGGGCAGGATAGCCTTCAACATTGTGCTGCAGTGGTTATTACAGACCTTCAAACCTGCATGCAGACTGTGAGTTTTAGTTGTCACAGTGATTTGACTACTGGAATTTGTTGAGCCCTTATATTGAAGTTGTCTGTCATCATACCCCTGGATGCCTCTACATGCAATTCCATTGTGTAATGATTCCCATTGCTTTAAATGTGACTCTGCGAAGCAATAAATGGTCATCCAAAGCATCATAGCCACTGCAGCTCTCCATGAGTACCCTGGTCTGGTTTCCTGCTAGTGAGGAAAACTTTTCACTAACATTTTTCCTCATTACCAGTGTCACAGCCCGGCTCCAAAGCTATTAGATGGTCTGGTAACGCACTTCTAACTTCTGTGGAAGCTGTGCAACATTTCATAGCGAAACACTGCACATACTGACTCCTGGCACCATGAACACTTCAAATCACTGTTGTTTGCTATGCATATTGGCATTAAAGAATTTAGCAGGAAAGATAATTGTCATCCTGAACTTCCAAGTACACATTGGTGTCAAAGTGCTGTATCACCCAACGTGGTGCTACTGGTTTTATTGACTTCATAAGTATTGAATTCTGGTTCTGCTGGGAGATTCTTCTGATATATTGCAGCTTGTGCGTTACCCACTGAGCAAATGCACCAGCAAAGGATTTGACTCCTTACATGGGGGTGCACTCCGGGTACCATAAGTATTACCGCATTCTGTTGTGGTTATGGTGTTTTGAGTCATTATTATGGATGTCACACCTAGAGTGTTACTGTAAAGAACAATTCTAACTTCTTAAATTTACTCTCAAGACACAAACCACTGCAAATACTCTAAGCAGATTTTCACTCTGATTCTTTTACTTTACTATTCTCACCTGTGTATGTAATCTACTTCTGAGGATTACCATGTGGATTGTATTTGTAGATGGAACATTCCTTGTTGTTGGTATGGTGAGTCCTTTTATGTAATATTAACCATCTCATTTTCTATATTTCTCACTTATTGCTTTTTATTGGACTGAGGTTATTATTGAACTTGTTTTTCTACCAGTGCTGTACTTTATCGTTAAAGGACCACTCTAGGCACCCAGACCTTAATGAAGTGGTCTGGGTGCCAGGTCCATCTAGGATTAACCTTTTCTGATATGTTTACCTATGGGTTAATCCAGCCTCTAGTGGCTGTCTCATTGACAGCCGCTAGAGACGCTTCCGCGCTTCTCACTGTGATTTTCACAGTGAGAAGACGCCAGCGTCCATAGGAAAGCATTGAGAATGCTTTCCTGTGGCCTGGCTGAATGCAAATTCCGCCGATGATGGCGAAAAGGAGGATCCCCCGCGCCGACGGGGAACACATATAAGATTTAACCCCTTCCACTCCCTAGAGCCCGGCGGGAGGGGGGCCCTGATGGTGGAGGGTAGGGGGGGGGGACATAGAGACCCTATAGTGCCAGGAAAACGAGTATGGTTTTCCTGGCACTATAGTGGTCCTTTAAAGGGATTCTATAGTGTTAATAATACAAATCTGTATACCTAACACTATAGGTCCCTCTGGTCCCCCCTCCCTTCCTTGTTAAAAAAACCTTTTTAACACTTGCCTGTCTCCAGCAATGATGTCCCTTGGCGCTTGGTCGGCGCCCTGAAGGGGGAAGGGCTAATGCTCATGCGAGGTGATCGACACAAGCATATTCGGCCCTTTCTAATGCTTACTTATGGGAAATTCACTGATGCTGGATGTCCTCAAGCAGAGGACTAAGTGGGACAGGAACACTGCACCCAGATCACTTCAATGAGATAAAGTGGTCTGGGTGACTATAGTGTCCCTTTAAACCAGCTCTCAAATTGAGTTGATGTTTACATTATGGTAGGTGGTAAATTGTCACATTGTATCCTCTAAGAACTGTTATGGACCCTTGTAGCCCTGTCCATGAAGCCTCAGAGGCCAATTGTTCCCAATGTTTCTTTTTAGAGTCCTCAGTTGACCCTATTGCATTCTTTGCATCTAGTGCCAGGGGCAGCATGGGTGTTCCCAAGCCTCTTGGTAATTTGCACATGTTAATCGGTGTCCAGGTTCTGCCAGAACATAATTCCCATGCAGTGTACAGGCTTTTTGGTTGCAAATGTTCATTATTTTTTTTATTATTCAAGGTTGGTGTCCAGTGTAATCAAGCGTGTGGATCCTCTGATTATTTTTTCTAGTGCCTTGAGTTTGCTTTTGTTCCAAAGTGGCAATATGAATATACTGATATTTGTTGGATATTTAGATGTTGGCTATTGGCAGCACTCTCTGCATTTCTATTTTTGTGCTATTTTATATAGATTTTAAATGACTTGCATAAGTTATTCAGGGTTAAAAGGGTCAAGTTGTTTCTCTAAACTTTACATTATTTCCTTTTATATTTTCAAGAAGTTGTGTTACTTAACTGAAGTGCCTGTTCCTCATTCTCACAGCAGTAAATGTTATTAAAGCGTTTACTGGATTTAGTAGAGCAGCAAATGTAATTAAGAAAACAAAACACTAATCTCGTCAGCACTTTTGTCCTAGGCAATATCACCACGCCCCCACCCCCTGTGATGCATTTGCTGAGAAATGCCAAGTAAGTGTATGCATTATGGGGTTAAAAGAACTCTCCAAACAACATAACCACAACAACCTTCTGTAGTGGTTATGATACATAAAGTGGCCTGGTGACCCCGCTTTTAGTACTCTGTAGCTGTGTTTATGATGCTTGGAGTGTTACTTTAAATTTCATTCTACATTATATAGTGTCTGCAAAACCTTTTCTAATCTATTTGAATAAAACAAGAAACATGATTAAGTGCAGTTAAAGGAACACTATAAGGTCAGGAACACAAGCATAGGGTAAGCATTGGATTGGCTGAGATGACCAAGTTGGTGGTGTGGGGCCAAATGCCGGCCTGGCCAATCAGTATCTCTTCATAGAGATTCATTGAATCAATGCATTTCTATGGGTAACGTTTAGTGTGTCCATGTAGAGCTTGGAAACCCTGAACGTCATGTGCATCACTGCCCCAGGAAGCACCTCCAGTGCCCACTAGAGGTGTCTCTAGACTGTAATGTAAACACTGCCTTTACATCAAAGAGCCTTCAGGGACAGGCTACGCTCACCAGAACTACATTAATCTGTAGTTCTGGTGACAATAGTTTCCTTTTAATGTACATTTTGTAACAAGCAGCAGTTAGATAACCATTCATTGTTCTCTATCCAATTATAGCATTTACCTCACCATTTCAGAAACGGTGAGTTCTGTAATCTTCCACGTTGTATATCCATTTTCAATCAGTGCTGTCATTTATGCTGCCTCTTAAACGACTTGCTACAATATGAATGTGATTGTCCTATGTAATAAAGTAAAGAGTGGATAGTAGTATATAATGATTTGGTCATTACAATGTGTATTTTAATAGTTCTGGCACATAGCAGAGGGGTTGGACTTTTTCTGTCAAACTGATTGAAAGTAGGTAAAGGGACACTGTAGTCTCCAAAAACAACAAGCTTAAAGGACCACTATAGGCACCCAGACCACTTCAGCTCAATTAAGTGGTCTGAGTGTCAGAGCCCCCCCTTGTTTTAACCCTGCAGCTGAAAACAGTAAAACTTATTTGTTTTCCTGGCACTATAGAATCCATTTTAATGAAGCAGGTTTGGTGTATTGATCATGCATTCAGTCTCACTGTTCAGTTCACTGCCATTTGGGAGTTAAATCACTTTTGTTTCTGTTTATGCAGCCCTAGCCACACCTCCACTGGTTGTGATTCATACAGCCTGCATGAAAACAAAATGGTTTAATTTTCAATCAGATGTGACTTATTATAAACTTTTTTTTTTTTATCTCCTCTGCTCTGTAAATTGAACTTTAGTTACATATGAGTCTCCTGTAGGGTCTAGCAAGCTATTAACAGAGCAGGAAATAAGAAATTCTAAATTAAACAGAATTTGCAATAAAGGAAGCGTAAACATTCGATTTCTCTTTATGGTTAAGTGTTTAGGAAAGCTGTGTAAGTCACAGTTAAACACAGTTAAGATTGCAGGGGCATGATTTACACACCAAAACTGCTTCATTAGGCTAAAGTTATTATAGTGACTATAGTGTCCCTTTAAAGACCAAAGGAATTGTGCCTTATTGTGTCCTTGAACCATAACCACAAGCTATTGTCACTAAAAATTGAATGTGATACTGGAGCAGGCTTTTGTTGAATCTACCTCCAGAACCCTTTTCATTTCACTATGTTGTAAGAGTTACCCAAGGCTGGCTTCTGTGACCTAATGACATAATGTAATTAGGAATTCCCTGTCCTGTAGGTAGGTGGATATTCAATTACAGCCTTTCAGCGGTCTTTCAGAGAAGAGCACATCAGCAGAAATACATTTGCACTAAGCACTGCAACAACCTTTCTTATTAGTATAAGATCTAAAAACCATTATAGAATAATTATATACATATGTTTTGTAACATGGTTCCAAGGTTTATGTGGAAGAAGTATGTTTAGTGTTGTGAATTTCTAAACCATTTTTAGAATGGCAGATCTACTGATTTTGTTATTTTTTGCAATACTCATTAATGCAAGTGGCAGTTAGAATGAAAAGCAGTGTGGTGTGGCTACTTTGGATCCTTTCCTCAAAGTCACATTGCGATTTGTTTAATTGGAGGTAGGAATTAGTGAATCTGTATATACATGCAAAAGTCAGATAAATCCGATGAGACTAAAACAGTAATCCATAACCACTTCACTACCAGAATTAAGTATAAACATTTTTATTTTCATATGTTTTGCAAATTGAAATTCAGTCCATAACGCCTGTAGGGAAATTGATTTTTCTGCCATAAGCCACTGTTAGCTGTTGTAAGGTCTGCAAGTTAGTTTAAAATGCGAACTTACCTCCTGACAACAGTAAAGGAAGTTTCAATGGGCGAAATATTGTGGATTTTTTTATTTCACTATTAGCATTACATTAGAAATATCAATTATTACACGGGAGGGCACACAAACACCACTACAATACCAATAATTAGCAACATTGTTAAAGTATAGGTAAGGGGCTCACCATGAAAATCCTGATCCTCACAAGGTCTAGAATACACTATCCATTTTAGACACAGGAATTCACTGTAATAAAAATGTAATCTTTATTGTGGATACCTTAAAAAAAACAAAAACATATAAATGTGATTATTCATAAATCACATACATAATTAGAATATTTACAGCATAATATACACAGACCTTTAAATAGCAAATCTAGACAGCAAATCACTCAGACAAATTCAGTTCACAAATACAGAATGATGCCATGGTAGATATCACATAGAATCCAAAATCACAAATAATGGTGGGAGGACATCAAAATGAATATCAAATAAGCAGTCGCACCCCCCTTGGTTTCTGCACCTTTGGCCTATTTCAAAGGAAAACATGTCATCCTCCCTTGAAAAAGGCCAAGTGCCAAAACGTTGTGAGGCCTTCTTAGTTGGTATCATTTTTGTTCTTCTCCCTGCGCATAGGAGCTAGTATGCACACATTCTTGGAAATGACGGTGGAGACTCTGGGGTAAGCTCCCCAGTGATGTCATAGTCACTTGAGAGTAGGGGATAAACGTATAGATTTTTACAACAGCATTAAATGAGCACTTGTTCCCCCATAACAATTTAAGATTATTTAAATTGTTGGAGTGTCTGTGCCTCTTCTTATCTTCAGGGGTAAACCGTGTGACACAGGTTTATCCCTGAAGTTGAGGATCCAGTGCTGTGTTCTGTACATCTGGAGTATAAAACATGTGTATAATTTACTTTGGGGCTCTGAGCTTGCTTTCAAAGGAAATACATTTGAATGTCACAAGCTGCACTTTTTTGTGCTGTTTGTTTGGTTTTCCCTTGGTGCATCTTTATGACCATACATGGAGACTTACAAACCAAAGGGGATAAAAGCTAGTTTTGGTTTCTAGTGCTGCAAGAAACAGGAAATAGATATGCTGTGTTAGATGTGTGTGTGTGTGTGTATATATTTATTTATTTGATGTAAAAAGTGTGTGTATGTATTTGATGTCAAGTAAAATTTCATTGGGCTTGCTAACTAGGTTGTCCCCTCCATTATGTAGTAAAATAAATCTTTACAGTTTTGATATATATTCATTCTGTAATAGAAGGCTGCACTCACGGATTCCTTCAAATATAACTTTTAATCAGTCTTGTTAAAAGAATCAACGTTTCAGTCCTACTTGAGGACTTTCATCAGGATTAATCCTAGTCTATATATCTAATAGCTAGCGAGCAATAATAAGATGCACTCTTGGATTTGAAAAAATATAATTCGATTTATTGTGCAAAAAATGGTGTTCAGAAGATCGATGTTTCGACCGCTAAAAAGTCTTTCACAAGATCAGAACATTACATACAGTGAATAATATAAATATATACATATCAAAAGTAATCACTTACCAATAGCAGTGAATTGAAACTCTCCCAACAGATCGAAACCTGGTAGTGTGAGAGCACCGCGTGTGACGTCATCATGTTACGTCCCGCTGTGTTTACAGCGGTTGCTAAGCAACCTATGTGATCTAGTGCTCATGTGAATTATAGAATAGCCGAAGGCTATACTTCCGAAATCAGAGGATTTTATAGGGATCATGGGCAGCAGATAAATCTAAGTGAAAGAAAACAAACATGAAAGCAAACTAGTGAGACAACATATGTGAAACCACATCATAAGTGTGTGCAAAGGATAGATCGCTCCCATATAGATCCCAGATATAAGGGCAAATATACATCTAAACAGAAAAAGGTATACAGGCTTCCCAGGTAAATCCTAATACCGAAGAGAAATCGGTGTATAAGTGTCATCTATAATAAACTGTATGACCAAGCAGGCTAAGCATACTTAATAGAAATGAACATCAAGTTAGATTAATACAAAAAAGAAACCGTTACAAAGCTGAATTCCATAGAAGGGCTATAAGGCAAATCATATTGTACTAGTAATATTGGACCCTAGCAATAGGGGACATTGTTAAATTAAATGTGTCCAAAAGAGCGTTCGTTCACATAAACCACATATAGCAAACACTATTCATGAAAAGAGAGCGAAAAATTATTAATAAACTCTATCAGCAAAGGAAAAAAATAAACTAAAATGTAAAAATAAACCTCATGTAACCAACAGGTGGGGATTATAAACAATGTTATATCCTATCCAACTAAATATAAATAGCATCGGCACAGGAACAATCACAGATCTAGGTTCTGTGCACCTTATTATTGTTGTTTTTTGGGTCCCCCTCTCTCCCTCGTGTGTCCCTTACTTTTTACCCATTTGTACTGCTCCTAAGCTTATGACATCCCTCTAGCAGGATAATTCCATTAATTTGAAATTTGGAGGAATTGGAAACATTCCTAATTTCACTATTTTGTTTAAACTTGCTATTCGCTTACCATTTCTTACTTGCTAAATAATAAACCCAACGTCTGCTATTATCCATATAAAATAATCGAGACACAAATGCTACATATAGGAGTGTAACATTAGGCCAAGCTGCCTCAATCTGTAGTTTAAACTCCATTCTCTTCCAGTACAGCTGCTTACCTAGTAAGTTATTGAGGTTGCCTTCACTTACTAGCTTGCGAGTGGGTTAAGTAGTTTAAGATTAGAGGCAACTGAGGGACCATGCTGTATGCAAAGGAGGAGCGATGGTGGGTTAGTGGTATTAACATTTTAGAACGGTTTGATTTTGCTCAGGAGAATCTGGATGCAGGTCTTAATCTGGAGAGAGAAGGAATATTTCTGGAAATCCACAAACATGATTTTCTTTAAGGAATGAAGGAGGAGAAGTAGATTTGGTTTGCACAATAGTCATTTTTTTGGACCACGTGCTTAATTGACAACTGTAGCATTAGGAATACAAGCATGTATTCTTGATACTGTCATGACCTGCACACATGTTGAGATGAAGTGATCTTGGTGCCTATAATATCCCCCGCCTAGGCAGAATGCTGTGGATTTAAGTAGACCCCCAGTCGCTATTCAATAAAGGCAGCGGATGCCACCCGTACGCTATTCATTGAAGGCAGCGAGTGTCGACGTGCCTACTGCAGACTTGACCCCTCCTGCAGCAAACTGTGACTGCCCTAACCTGCTGCTCCACCAATCTGCTAGATGTGTGTGTGTGCTACTGTTCACAACACGGAGTGCATGCGGGAAGCTTATTACATCTGTTGCCAGTGCACGGACGACTGACTTAATTCTTGCACAGAACTCACATTAGGCATCCCGGTGTTCTATGAAATTCCCCTACCTCGTGAAAATCCCCTACCCTCGTCACTTCATGTGAGGGGAATCAGCTGGATCCTGTGCTGCACATGTGTGCTAGCACTCCTGCTTCTCCTCCACAGCACGGTCCTGGAAGGTAAGTAAAACTACTTTTACACTTTTTTTATTATAATTAGTGCATTCACAAAGCTTAGGACATGGGACATTTAGGGTTAAGCGAGGGTTCAAATTAGTGTTATTTTAACCTCTCTCACACGCTATTCTTACCCTAACCCTTGGGGTAAGGGTTAAAATAAAGTGTGAAAAAACACAATTTAGTGTTATTCCCCTAATGTGAAATATCACTAAATAAAAACAAGTCCCTTATCCTAACCCTAATTTGAACCCTAACATTAACCCTAAATGTCCCATGTCCTAAGCTTTGTGAATGCACAATGAAAGTGTAAAACTAGTTTTACTTACCTTCCAGGACCGTGCTGTGGAGGAGTAGCAGGAGTGCTAGCATGCATGTGCAGCACAGGATCCAGCTGATTCCTCTCACCGGAAGTGAGGAGGGTAGGGAAATTTGATAGAACAGAGTTCCAGTCCACCCAAGTCACATGTGCTGGTGGTACAACTGGCACCCAGCACAAAAGTGGGTGTGTCTCTGGATGTCCAGTGTTTCAAGCAGATACACAGCACACATCGATTCCTACCACCATGACCATTTCTGAAAGCAGAAGTGGTCATGGTGGTTGGATTAACTCTTTGAATCAAGGCCTTTATTTGTAATTTTCTGCTAATTTACTTTTGCAATTTCTTGTTTTATTCAAATTGACTTTTTCATACAACTTCCTCTCTGTATACTAGGTGCTTGTATTTTCTAACAATAAAGGATTTCTGTTTAGAGAAGTGTTTCATCATCTAGGTTCTTGCTGAGTAACAGTTGATGGATTTTCAGTTGTATTTTTGTGTCTCTCATTTAGGTCCGTGTTGCAGCAAAGTTTATAATCCATGCGCCACCAGGAGAATTCAATGAAGTTTTTAACGGTGAGTAATCTTCTTTTCTGCATGTGCCTCACACCACTCATTAATTGCTATTTAAACAGAACTGTTAGCATTCAATCAACAGTTTATAAACTGCTAAAATAACACAGGTTTATTACTAGGAATTGTAAAGGGCTATTAGTTATGTGTATAGAAACTGAATAGAATACATTGGCTAACTGGCCACAATAGTTTCACATTTTTCTTTACTCCTCTCTCCTGTACATTTTAAGATTCTATTTACATTTAACAAGACACTTGTAAATATGAAAATAAAGGTTGTTTTGTAAAAAACTTTTTATTTATTGGTATGTAAATAAAAGTGGGTGAAAATTCCTTGTCAGTCATTACTAGGGTTTTGGAGCCAGTACATAAAACCTTCGACTCAATGTATGGTACTTCCGACTCCCAATATTATGTGTAGTATTACAGTTACCGTATTATCGCCAAAACTAGGGTCTGACTTATACGACAAACATAAAGTTATTGATATAAGGCCTTGTTCTAAGGCAGGGGTTCTCAACCCAGTCCTCTGGACCCCCTACCAGTCCAGGATTTGGGGATTACCTGGGTGTGTCTAAGGTGTTTAGAAAAAGGGGGAAAAAAACACCTTAGACTCTAAGGTGTTTTTTTTTTCTTTTTCTAAACACCTTAGACACACCCAGGTAATCCCGAAACCCTGGACTGGTAGGGGGTCCTGGGGACTAACGTTGAGAACCCCTGTTCTAAGGTTTTATTATTATACTCAATGCTTTCACCCATCCCATACCTTTTCATCATTTCCAACTTCTTTAATAAAGAAAAACATTTCTGGAGTGCTTACTATTATTGCATTCATTCGATTTAGTATGCTTAAGACTAGGGACTAATGAAAGTATTTATTTAGAAAATTGGGCAGACTAGATGGGCCGAATGGTTCTTATCTGCGGTCACATTCTATGTTTCTTATGAGTAATTATTTACTCTTTATGCACACATTTTGAAAGAACTAGCAGATGGCATTGCAGCTTATGGTATATAATTCATATATAAACAGAGCTGACTGCAGTAAAACATTCACGCCATCTATCTGCAAGAAATGGAAACTGCATCCCAATGGTTTTTTTTGGTTTATGTTTACTGTCTGACCATCATTAGACACACTATGGTCACCAAAACAACTTTAGCTTTTTGAAGCAGTTTTGTTGTATAGATCATTTCCCTGCAGTGTCACTGCTCAATTCTCTGGCATTTAGGAGTTAAATCACTTTGTTTATGCACCCTAGTCACACCTTTCTGCATGTAACTTGCACAGCCTTCCTAAACACTTCCTGTAAAGAGTCAGCTAAAGTTTATACTTGCTTCATTGCAAATTCTATTTCATTTAATATGTATTATCCCCTACACTGTTGATAGCTTGCTAGACCCCACAAAAGTCTCCTGTGTATGATTAAAGTTCACTTTAGAGAGCAGCCAATAAGAACTTTTTAAAGTAAGTTACATCTAATTGAAACCATTTTTTCTTTCATGCATGGAGTGAGTGTCACGGCCAGGGAAGGTGTGGCTAGGGCTGCAAGGACAGAAATAAAAGGGATTTAACTTCTAAATGGCAGTGAATTGAGCAATGCGACTGCAGGATTATGATCTATACACCAAAACTGCTTTATTAAGCTAAAGTTGTTTTGGTGACTTTAGTGTCTCTTTAATATTAATAATTAATCGTACAATAAAACAGAATACAGTAAGTAAAACAATATATATAATTTTATTATGAAGCAGGACTATTTGACCACTATTGCCTGTCTGCATGCCTAGCCTTGGCGCAAAAGTTGCACGCTATTTTGGGGGCCGACTTAAACGGCGAATATATGCTTAAACCTACAATACAACTTTAATTTGGGGGGGGAGGTTTGACTTAAACAGCATTTCAACTTATGCAGATACTGTTACTGTTGCACCTGCTCAGCCTTTCCTGATATAAAGAGATGGATGATTTATGTGGGGGAAGCTCTTGCCATCCATGGACAGGTTTACCGATCCAGTAAAAAGTGCAAGATCAGGGAGTACCTGTGATGCTGCAGGTGTCAGTGAAACTGGAACTTTGTTACAAGAGAGAGACCTTTTTAAAAGGGGGGAAAAACACAGCCCTAGTGTGATCCCTTGTCAGATTAATTTAAAATGACTAACTTGAGTTTTATCTCTTATTCAGATGTTCGGTTCCTGCTAAACAATGACAACTTACTCAGGGAAGGTGCTGCCCAGTAAGTGTGAGCTATTTCCTTCACTTGTTCTAATTTAAAACATTACATATCTGAAGAAAAACAGTGCTATTTAAAACTGAATTTAAAGGGAGACTGTAGCCAATAGAACCTTTTCATCTCATTGAATTGGTTATAGTGGCTGGGGTCCTCTGACGCTCTCAGTTTATTCAGTGTTAAAACCATTTTCTTAAAACTACTTGAGATATGGCTAAGGCAGACATGGGTCTGTGTATGATTCATCACAGGAATGTGTGTTTTGATTTGCATCTTTAAAGCGGTTTGTGGTTGGCTACTTATGTTTTGGAAGTACAGAAGAAGGAAATGGCATTTAAGAAAATTAGAATGCAATGCTAACACCATAAAATAAAAATTATTTGCCAAGGTCATGTATTGGCAGAAAGCTGTCTGCACAAATCTCTCCATCTAGTGACTAAATGTCTGAAACTTTTTTTTTTTTTTATCTTTACTATAAGTAATCAAAATAACTTGGACAACTCATGTTGCAATCTAGGAATATAATATTCTATAATAAATTGTTAATCCTTTGTCCAACTTGTTCATTTTCTCTTTGTTTGCAATTGTAGTGCATTTGCACAGTACAACTTGGATCAGTTCACTCCTGTCAAAATTGATGGCTATGACGATCAGGTATGAACACTGTTTGAGTCTTGTATCTTAGATTGTGCTTCATTAATTTAAGATGCATTTTACCAGCACCTAAACTGACATTTGTCCAAAAGGGCTTTATGGCATATTCAGATTCAGCACTAAATGAAGTAAATGCATATGGTGAGGATTTTATAGTATGTACATGCTTTGTGATTATAGGAGGGTATTTAAGCTGCATGTTTAAATCGTGTATATTCCTGTTGGTCCTTTCGTGGCCATTCACTATCTTACTGTATGCACATCTGTGATTTTATTGAGGCAAGTTTGTTTAAAAAAAAAAGATTCTCTTTCTAATGACTGTGAAAGCTTGGATCTAGTAGATGAAATATATTTCTATACTTTTTTATTTCATGTTTATTTTTACGTACAATGCCTATTTCCCTGTACACTCCACTTTTTTCTTTCCCATCCCAAAGGCTTTGAAATTGGGTTAATAAAATATCAAATGGGGAATTTGGATTTTTAGGCTTCTCAAAGTACCTATCCCTCTCCCACTTGCAAGTATATGCAGCAGGATTGATAACTTTCTGACTCTTGTACCATTGAGCTAGTATGTCACTGCCGAATCAGATATTTGCTTTTCACTGGACCCAGGTAACAAGCTCTGGCAAGTTCAAAGAGCCCAACACCAACCATCAGTCATGTCACTTTTTAAACTTGCATGGGCTCGCTCCCAGGAATCAGCATGTGCAAGTTGGTTCACATCAGCCCATTGTAGTATAATTCCTGGCTGCCGGTATGACAGGGTTACTATGGATTACTTTTTTAAAGCCCTGTTCAGATGTCTCAGAGTTATTGGACTACTCATTCCCACGTGTTGGCAAAGAAAGATAGATACTCTATTTAGTGGCTCTACTCTTAGGTGGAGCTGTAGTATAGCTATATTGGAGGAGGAAGTTGCACATTTGCGTTAAAGGACATATTCCAAGGTACACTATAAAACATCTATTCTCATTCTGTTTGTGTTTTATTGTAGGTATTAATAACAGAACATGGTGATCTTGGTAATGGGAGATTCTTGGACCCGAAAAATAGGATTTCTTTCAAATTTGATCACTTAAGAAAGGAAGCGAGTGATACGCGGCCCTATGAAGGAGAAAATGCAATTGAATCTTGGAGAAACACTGTAGATGCTGCCACAAGATCCTATGTTAAAGACCATTACCCTAATGGGGTTTGCACTGTAAGTTTCACAATAATATGCTCACAAATAAATATATATATTATTTTTTATTTATTTTTTCCTCTTATTAGGCATGAGTTATTGTTGAATTTACAATGAGACCGCATCCCCTTCTGCCCTTGTTATACTGCTCAGTACACACCAGCAAGACCTAATTATCAGTAATCTACTCCAGTTTGCCTGAGGAAAATTTAGTGTCTATATGACTGGTTCTCATGCCACATACATGTTGAATTCAGGGCTAGAGCCGCGCGCACATTCGAACAGTACATAGGAAATGCTTTCCTATGGACGTTCTACACGCTGAATGCGAATTTCGCATGCAGCGTCACAGAAGCGCCTCTAGCGCTGCTATGTTTACATCTGAAGAGTTAAAACCTGGGGAACCTGGCACCCAGACCGCTTCATTGAGCTGAAGTGGTCTGGGTGACTATAGTGTCCCTTTAAACAACCAGGAAGTAATGACATCCAAGGAGTATACCAAGTTTAATTTATAAAAGTGCCAGTTTCTACCGAAATCTGCACAGTTTTTAAAACGAAATAAGGAAGCTAAAGTGTTTTAGTTGTTTGCAGTGTTAATATAATAAGCATGAGCATATCCTATTATTTGAATTATTCCTTTTAATCGTTACCCAGTAATTTCCAAAATCAATTAATGAACTGGTTCATATGATCTTTTTCAACTATAGGCAATTTTATTTTCTTCTCAAGCCACTAACTGATTTCATATATGGACCACAAATTGTAATTTTTCATAGTTTGACTATGCCTTGCAAAATATGCTTCACATAAAATGGAAGATGTTTCTCTGAGCTATATCTCTGTCACACTAACGAGTATTGTGATTGTTGAACTTTAGAAAATGCCTAGGATGGAGTTTGATAGAGCAATCTGAATGTCACCCTCATGAATTTAGAAAGGTCAAGCTTCAGTTGTAATGCAGTGTATGATAACTGTAAGGAATGTTTTGTCACTCACTGTTAAATTGTGCACTTGATTCACCTCATATGCCAACACTTCAAAATAATGTTTTGGTTAGAGGAACATTCAAAACATCAGAACCACCAAAGCTTGCTGTAGTCAAACTATTTAGAATGGTTTGACTTTGTGCCTGTGGTCTGCTGGGTGTTGCCCTCATCCTTTTCTTAGCACTGGAACCAGGTCATGGCTGAGAATGTCCTCTGTAAGCTGCGGCCTGCGCCTTAGCTCAGGATAGAAAGCTCCCCTGTAGCTGTGATGAAAGCAGGGAGCGATGACTGCAAACTCAAGTAAAAGGTCAATCTGTTTTAAACTGTTTGACTACTTACTGTTGGGGAGCTCTAGGTCACTACATGCACCATAACCTCTACAATGCTCTGTAGTGGTTATAGTACTTTGAGTGTGGTGTTTTTTTTTTTTTGTTTTTTTTAAGCTTCTAATTTTTCATCTCTCAGCATTTATTATGTTATTAAATGTAGTATTTATAAACCTTCAATATACGCTGCACTACGTGTTTTGTTCACGTTCCTTATAGTTTTATAAAACTGAGTTAGAGAGTGGTGAATTATTATGCTGTAGTAAGGTGGAGAATAGGGTGTCTAAATCCAAATCTAAATAAAATCTTTATGAAAACTTCAATTGCATTGAGATTTGACTCAAACTCCAAAGCAACAAAAGACATTGTAAGACCAATTAAGAGAGCTACAGGAAGTTGTTATGGATTAACCCACTCAAAAAAATACCTTTCCCAATTTGTGGTTGGCCTTATGTGGTTAACATTGGAGTAACATTATTGGTGATGACACTTTTTTTTTAATTTACATATTTTAAAATGTTATGTCCAATTATCGCCCTGTTGTAGAACAACATATATAGGAAATGGCAAGGATTTCCTGCAAATCTACCCCTGTGAAAGATGAACATGATTTCTGTTAATAGAAAAATGAGCAAGTGATGTTTAAGCAAAGTGTTGTGCCTTAAAGACCCAAAAAGTTTGATGTTCTCTAGAGAACTCGCATGAAAACCACTTCATGCAGTTGTTAAAACAAACTCTCATGTCCAATTGTAGATTTGAGAGTTAGTCAGGATTCTAAATTAATGTTCTATATTTAAACAAGTATTTTCGCTTTTGTCAAGGTGTACGGCAAAACAATTGATGGACAGCAAACCATAATCGCTTGCATAGAGAGTCATCAGTTTCAAGCAAAGAATTTCTGGTAAGTATAAAAACTATAAACTGTGCCAAAAATTCTTCAACAATGAGAGCACATGCATGCCTTTCAGACTTTTTAAAGTGGTTTGTTGCGGTTTATAAGTAGATTTGTCATGCAGAAGGTTGTAGTAATATTCTAAACCCTAATAAAGGGTGATATTGGGCACCATAATTACTACATACTGATTTAGTGGTTATGGTGCCATTAGGCTGTGTGTGCTGTCCCAAGTTCTTTGTCAATCCATGTTCGAATAGAATTTCAGCTTGAGCAGTTCTGCTAAACAGGGGCTGTCGTCACCACGAAGGTATTTATGGCATATCACTATAGTCCTCAGAACCAATACAGCTTAATGTAGCGGTTCTGGTGTCTACAGCATGTCTCTGTGGTGTTAGCATTGCTGGTTAGTAACACCTCTAGTGGCAGTCACTCAGCCAGCCACTAGGGGTGCTTCCTAGTGAGTAGCACTGGCGTTCAGCGTCTCCACATTCTGCATGGAGACACCAAAACATTCCCTGTACAGATGCATTGATTCAATTGCCACGCTAGCGCAATAGCCTCACAGTGCTTTCCTATGGGATGTGAAATGAAGGGTGCAGAAAATTTGAAGGTAGTATCAAATGAATACACTGTGCATTAAACGATTTTCCAATGGTATGGCACATCAGGGTTCCTTGGGCACCTGTTCCCTTGCTGTCCAGTGTCAATTTTGCCCATGTTTGGATGGGATTGATTGATTATCTTGGCTGACGCACTGAGCCAGTGTTTGGGCGAAATTGATTAGTAGATATGCTTTAAAAGTGCAAAACAGACAGGCTTCCATAGTGTTATGTCTTTATTATATGCAATGGAAAAAAGAATTAAAAAGCAGTCTGGCAAATTGTGGGTGGAAGCCACCCACAGAGGAGGACTTGTGGTGGTACTTGGTGGCCAAAGCAGGAAGTTAGTATACATGGAGTACAAGGCTCTTTACGGCAGGTCTTTCATAACATTTATTAAAATAAAACATTGAACTTTCTCTATTGGCCTATTTCTATTGTCTATTTCTATTAACCAGACACAATGCACAGGGTACCTTTTTAATTATCTTTTTCCTTATTAGGAGGTGGTAGGAATGCACAGTTCTAGTATTTTTGCATGTTGTAGTAATAACCGAGTAGTGAACCTCTATCTTAATTGTTAAGGTACTGGAGATTACCCTTTTTTTAAATTTTAAGTGCTATTATTTAAGTTGTTGCTGTTACATTGATTGCATTTAATTTATTCTCCAGGAATGGACGTTGGAGGTCAGAATGGAAGTTTACAATCACACCATCAACTACAAAAGTGGTTGGCATTTTAAAAATTCAGGTAATGAAAACTATTTTACTACAATTTCTTTGGAATTCCTTATTTAAAGGGACACTATCATCCCCAGAACAGCTACAGGCTGTTTGCAGTAAACACTGTCTTTTCAGAGAAAAGGCAGTGTTAACATTACAGCTTAGGGGCTCCTCCAGTGGCTTCCTTGGGCAGTGCTGCTTTCTGGGGCAGTGCTGTCAATCAGTGTCTCCACCCTCTGCGTGGAGATGCTAAACTTTGCTTATAGAGATGCATTGATTCAATACATCTCTATGCAGAGATGCTGATTGGCTAAGGTGGTTGGTTCCACCCCCAGCTTGCTTCCTTGTTTGAGATAATCAGAATTGACAATCTCAGAGATCATTGCTTCTGATTATGTCAGCCACAGAGGCATATCCAGGGCACAGCCAGCACCAGCAGACTGGGATAAAGGTAAAATTTTACTATAGTGTCAGGGATACATGTTTGTGTTCATGACCCTATATTGTTACTTTAACTATCTTAACCAATTCTGGGTCATAGCACATGTGCTCTAGTATTTAATGTTTTTTTTCCTACAACTTTTCTACCTTATTAGTATTATGAGGTTGATAATAGCTGATGATCCAAAATCTGTCGGTTAACATTGTGTGTGTTTATAGAAATATTACCGAAAACTGTTTACAAAATATTGAAGTAAGGTGAACAGAATAAAATATAAATATGTCGGTCCAAAAAATGTTTGGTTCACAAAACATTTGTTTTGACAACAGAAATCATATGACTGAAAATGTGTTTTTGTTTTATTTTTTTATGGGGATGATATTGAATATAGCGGTCTTTAAAAAATCTGCAATATATTTCACGTCAAGTAATAATAGATTGTATTAATAGGTCCATTATTATGAAGATGGTAACGTGCAACTTGTGAGCCATAAAGACGTAGAAGAGTCATTAACAGTGTCTGTAAGTACATCTGGATCTGCTAGAGTTGAAGTGGTTGTTTTGATCTTTCTCTCTGTGTTGTATTGTGTGTTTGTATGTGCTAGTAAGTAACCTCAAAGCTGACTGCATAGAGAAAGTATATAGTTGGAGACTGCACCTTACTCTGCAATATAGAGTTAAGTTTAACATTTTTGTATCCGATCGAAACAGAAGTTTTAAATGTGTGTTTTTCCCCTTTAAAAGCAGCACTGCCCCCCATGAATTCTGCAAAGTCCTTGGATGGTGACAGTGCTGCTTTAAATGGTTTACTTAGCATAATTCTAATGTAAGTAAACAATGTAAAATACAGAGCTTTCTTTGAAGCGTTGACACTGCTTTCTTCAACCCATTAGTTTAATTACACGTGGGATCATGTGGAATTACTGTGTGGTTTGACTAAAGCCCCTTTTTCTTGAGATACATGACTACGTAGCCTTGTACGATTATAAAGTGTGCCTTTTTTAGTGTGTGTGTGTTTATTAAAATGTACAAGGGAGCAACACCATTATGCAATTTATTTATTTTTAATTTGTTTAATTTTTTTTTTTTAATTCCATCTAATCCCTTTTTCATTTTAGAATGAAGTCCAGACTGCTAAAGAATTCATTAAGATCATAGAGGATGCAGAAAATGAGTATCAGGTTTGTACCTAACGCTAATATCCCATCATGGTTAGCAATACAGAAATGGGTTGGAAAAACTCATTGTTTTTGTGTTTGTGCTGTTTATATTTAACCATTCCAATCTCATGGTAACATTTGTAGGTTGTAAATATGTATTGCATAGTACTGTGACATGATGTTGGCAATCCTATCACAGAACTTTTGCTTGTCATCAAAATATAAAAGAGAGCACCTTGGAGCCACATTACACTTACCACAAATTAATAAATTTGTGAAATTTAAATAAATCAAAAATGTTGCCATATGTTTAACATAGTGTGTTGGTAGTCTTACCTGTAATTAATATTTAACCATTGAATTATTTTTGATTTTGTAAACCACCTTTTTCATTGTATGATGTGTGTGAATATAAATGAGAGAGAGGAAATTATCAAGTTAAAAAATACAACTAAAATTGGACCTGAAAGCAAAGCTAAGTTTGAGAATTTTTCTAACTTCACTATTTTAGTCTAAAATTCCTGATTTATTTTTTTAACTTTCGTGACGTAGAGTTACAATTTTAATAAAGACAGGAGGCAAGTATTATGCTTTAACTTTCCTTAATACTCTTATAGCAGCAAATATGAAAAACTTCTTGAAATAATGATTTAACAATAGAACAATTTGAAATGCTATGAACATACCTGCTGTTAACATATCAACCATTCACAGCCAAGTCCAGTCTAAGGCTCCCACAATCCTTTAATTCTATAAATTGGAGAGGTTGTAAATGAAATGTCTTCCCTCTGGGTTAACCTCTTAGCAGTGTAAGTCTCACTTTTGATAACTGCAGTTTAAACATACTGCTTCACATTTTATTTCATCTGCAGACTGCGATCAGTGAGAACTACCAGACTATGTCGGACACTACATTCAAAGCCTTACGTCGGCAGCTGCCAGTTACACGTACGAAGATTGACTGGAACAAGATTCTTAGTTACAAAATCGGAAAAGAAATGCAGAACGCCTAACATTGCATGACTGGATCATTTTAGTGTCTGTGCATACAAATAAACATGATTGCTATAAAGTATTCGGAACTGCCAAGTTGCCTGGTCAGCATGGCCTTTTGCTATGAAAAAGAAATCATTATAATTAAACTAACTGGGCTATAGCACAAAATTTACTTTTATCAGTTTTCTCTCCGTTGGTATACATATTTTGTTTAGGTTTATTTGTTTTTTTTCTGTTTGAGTCAAAGAGTTTAATTTGATTTCTGGGGTTGGTACATTTGCAAGCTTTTTAATTATTTTTTTCCTTTGGAGATGTTTGAGAGGAGCAGTGATATATTTTTTTTAAATTCTGAATTACAGTCTCAATGACCGTAATACTAAATCCCAACTCTAGCTTCTATAAAAGAGCTCATATACATAGATAACCGAGAAATAAATAGATCTATATGTGTATGCAAAGGTTATGTGACGTGCGTAATTCTGTATGCTGCCAATTCACCAAGTCCTATTTTTGTTTTATGGCCATGACTAGAATTCTAACGCTGTTAAAAATAAATAATAGTAATAAACGAGGCAGAGCATTACTAACGTTTAAAATGTTATCTTGCTTCTATTTTCCTTTGCATCTCAGAACTGTTTTCTCTGTGAAGAAGGGCCTATTGGAGAGATAAAAAGCACATCCCATAACCTTTACAAACAGAGCCGAACATGTCTTGGTTTACTATTTTCTGTATCACCATGTGTATTATGGCATTATTGACCTTTTAATATTGTGGCATCCCAAGAGGTAGCCTTCCCTATGGGTCATGTTACGTGTAAAACCATGAAGCTTTGAATGCCTAGTGCCAGTCTGGGGGTGAAAACTCTTGCTTTCATCCTTTTTCAAGTCCTCAATTTGCATTTAATTCATTCATTGTACTCACTGTGAGTGCTGTCAACATATGCAGACTTTTCTATCGGTCTATATAAGACTAACATTGGTGGCATTGATTTGAAGGTTATTTCGCAAATTGATTAAATCATAGATTGCTTGAACATCTTCCGTGCTATGCTCCTGTGACAGCTTTTAAAATTTGCTTGCAATCCCTCTGCCCTCAACTATGTCTTTAATTATACACTCACCAATGTATTATAACACAGTAAATTGTAATATATACATACTTTGATATATCTTTGTATAGATATATCTGTTTTCATTATCCTGTCTGTCGGTTTGTTTGTTTTTTTCGCTGCAGTTGAAATGTACTACTATTCATTGTGACATTAAAATGCAGATTTTCTATTTCTCAGAGTAGCACTTGCTTGAAGCAGAGCAGATTGTGATGGGTTTCTTCACTATGGTGGGTTTTATAGAGAGTTTATTGATTAAAGTAGCTGTCACCTCTGCTTCACTAATTAGTTTTCTTCTTTAGTGCTTTTTTTCATTTGCTGTCATTTATTGGTTTTGAGGTTTTCTGTATTTTTATTTTATTTTTTTAAAGCGGTCTGTTTTCATGAAATACATGAAGTATCAACTTGGCAATAGGCAACCTGTGCCTCTCTCCTCACCTCCTGTCTAATTCCTGTCTATTCTTGGTTTGTGTCAAGCGATACAAGATTCTGCATGACCTGTGGTAAGCGGTTGGCATGTGTCGTAAACTCCAATGTAAGGACAAATTGAGCCAACAGTCCCAAGAGGAAAGAATATGGCTGTGAGTTGAAAGGATCTTCAGCAGCCTGCAAAAAAGAAAAATATATATATTTATTTTAATCTGTTATGGGGATATACAAGATGTTCTTGATAATGAGGTTAGTGTGACAGAGCTACTTTGAATGCAATGTGGCTGGTCTCACTTTAATTTACAGTTGCAATAACATGAACCACTCAACTTGGCTGCTGGACATAGGCAGGGCAGCATCGCTTGCAACTACCCCCAAATACTGCGGCAACATTTCTGAATTTCTAGAATGGAGATGTATGCTAAGTGTGCAATGCTGTGCATGCGCAAACCCCTCCAAGTTTGTAGTCTTTATCATTATGGCAGGTCCAGGTTGGCAAACAAGTGTTAAAGTAACAATTCTGTTTGCAGTTGCTTTTTTAAAAAACATTTTTATTAATGATTTTATGGAGATAAATCAAATGTATCTAGTAAAAAAAAATGCTTAACTTTCACATAACTCCCTGTACTGACATTGACGGAGCTCCTATGCTTCCTTGCTGTGATCAGAGACCCTGGAGCGCTTCAGACTCAGTCGCCAAAGCTTGACTGGAATCGCTGAGGACCTCTCACCCTGGACCAAGCTACAATGATTATACTGATTAAAGCTCTGCAGACCCTCTCTCCTATAAATCAGTGATTCTAAGCTTTCATGCAAAGCCATAGCCTTTCTATTACATATTAGAATGAATCTTTAATATCAAATAACGTAGCGCGCTAAAGACTAAAGTAAATACAGTATCTTCAAATCTAAAATCTGTAAGAAACAATAAGATGTATATAATGCTGACTATCTGATAACACTGTAATAGAGATAAGAGTAACGTGTCTGGGAGAGAACTCACTCAACTATTGGGTTTATTCCTGGTATACCCAACACCAAAGTAAGAGGTTTGTAACCTTTTATGTTAAATTGTTTTAGATATTCAATTGGGGGTCCTTGCCTCTCTCATATACTGCTCCGAAGTACCAGATATACATCTGATTGAATGGAGACACCTTTCCTGACAAAAAGCTGTGGGAAATATCCCTCTCAAGTGAAGCTATTGAAACCCACAGTCAGGGGTGGCAGGGTACAGCACTACGGAATCTGATGGCGCTATATAAATAATAAAATAATAGGGCTCTGGTACATGTGCATTCTCTCCCAGACACGCTACTGCTATCTCGATCACAGTGATATCAGATAGTCTGCATTATATATATCTTATTGTTTATTATAGATTTTATATTTGAAGATACTGCTACGTAAATTGGTATATTCTATTGTGTGTCATGTTGTGACACTTTGGGGTTAGTGTAGCTGTGCTGCATACATTCTTTTCTCAAGTGCTTCTATCATTTTGGTTTTCTGTAGAATGATTCTTTATTGCACACATCATCGCCATTTATAGGGTATAAGGTTCACTCTCCCTACAGCTGATATTTTATACAATATGATGTGCTGCACAATTGTCCCTCCCAGTGCCACTCTGTCTGGGGACCTAATCACATCTCCAGCTAACGCAATCTGCTCCATGCTGTGCCCTCAGTCCTAAAGGCACAACATACAAAATGTATGCCAAAACACATTTCACAAGACCATACACCACCACACTGACACAAAATATATTCCTGGAGCGCCCTTGTTGTCCAAACAAATACAGTGTTTTAATGAGTTACCACGTCGTGACTATTCTATCTGGTGACTAGCTACAGGCGTGCGGCGGATTAGTCCTGGTCTCCAAAAAATGGTTCCTGGACCTCTTGGTAGAAGAGCACTCTCAAGCCCCAGATGTCCTCCAATGCCTCCCCGACCTCCACTCCAAGTAGCGCCCTATTTGACGGTCAGGGGACCAAGCAATACCTGCTTAAAGGGATTCTATAATGTAAGGAATACAAAGTTGTATTCCATGCACTATCGTTCCATCTAATCTTTCCTCGCACCTTTCCTCAGCACTGCAAGAGTTACAAAACCCTTTTAACACTAACCTGATTCCAACGACAATCTTCCTCGGTTCTCCCTATAGGTAAGCGTTGCCTCAATGCTTCTTATATGTGAATTTTACTGACGCGTCAGGTGACCAGAATTCGCCTAAACACCAGGAAGTACCTATAATGGCCATTAGAAGTAGTCTTAGTCCTGCAATGGAATCATTACAAAAACTGAAATGATTTACATTGCAGGTCTAAGTTGGACTGGGACACTACACCCAGACCACTTTAATGAGCTGAAGTGGTCTGGCTGCCTATAGTGTCCCTTTAAAGTTGCTTGAGTTATAAAATGAGTCCAGGCGACCCCCAGAGGTCCTCAAGTCTGTCTGGAAGCACAGTAAACCTACGGGGCTGGCCTTTTTGGAGGGCATTGATCAGGCCCATGGTTTGTGGGCAGGAGGCTAGCCTATGTGCCTCTCCAGGAGGTTGTGGCACGGGAGCTTCTGTTACAGGCATCTTCTCACATATCCAGGACATGACTCAATCCTGTTATGTAACTCTACACCAAGCATAACTAGAACCTAACTACACATTGCAGCTAGGCACATGCGGAAACTTAGAGTCATGGGGCACTTTACGTTTCTGGAAAATTGTCATGTACTAAAAGTTGGGGCAATTGCCATGGAAACCAGTGGGGAAAACTGACATTCCATTGGTAATCCCTCCCCATAAACATCATTGCACTGCTTTTCAGAACACGACCTAATGATAACATTCATTAATTGTCTCAAGGTAAGCTATCACTGCGGTATAATCATTGCTCTCTTATATGTACCTAGCGTAACTGAATATATATAGGCAGTGGTATGTTTTATCTTACAGATCTACCAATCAAAAGAGGAGTACTCATGATTCAATTATGTGCACCCTTTTTAAAAATAAATGGCTGTACAATGGTTACAAAGAAAAAAATTGATTCTTCCAAACAGATTTTTTCAGGAAAACCATCCCAGAGGTGCAGACAGAATTAACACCAAATAAATGGAGTCTCATGAGCAATGCATTTGGAGCACAGTCATCCTCTTCCCCACAGTTTAGTATGTCAAAGAATAGACTGCTTTGTAGTGTAAAGGTAACTAATATGTATTTAGAATGACCAGACTGAAGACGTGACATGCTGTGATCAGGAGAGTATGAATGTAACTGTGAATATACTGACTACAGCCTTGGTTCAAGGGGGAAGAGTGGAGAGAAGAATCCTTTGACACATGGGTTACACTGATTGCAAATATAAAAGCAGTCCCAGACTGGTCACGGGGCAGATTGTACAAATACATTGTGGGAGCATTTGGCTGCAGATCCTCTACCTCGTACAGTCTACCTACTGCTAGCAATACAGTAAAAGTT